CGAATTTACGTGAAACTTTTGGGCCAGACAAATTTGCATAGGTGCATATGCATATGCATAAGGAAATTGATTGGTTCAGAAGAAAATGCATAAGGAAATGGACCAATCAATTTCCTCATGCATATGTTTATGCGATTATGCAAGTTAGTCTGGATAGGCCCTTAAAGTCTGTGCTCCGGCCTTATATTTTTAATCGGTTACTTTCTCTCAGGGTGCAGTTCCATGAGCTGCGGAACTGCGGAAATGCGGATCGGCGGAATAAAGCAAAAGTTGCGAAAATGCGCAATGCGGAATAAAGAAAAAAATCATATTTTATGGTCTTAAGAGTAAATAATGGAAATGTCTGTGAATCTTTATCATAATTAAAATATTTGCTCTTATAAAATATTCATATTACATTGTCTATATGAGCATTAATTTTATGCATTTAAAAATGGATTTACGAAAACGCTCTGTGATTGGTTAATACCCGTTCCGCACGAAGAATTTTGCTCCATGTGACATAAGGAAACAAATGTCTGCGAAACGACAACTGCGGAACAGTTGAGATTGGTCAACTCTGTTCGTGACGTCATTCCACCGATCCATATTTCCGCAGCTCATGGAACTGCACCCCATCGCCTGCCATCTGCATTCTCACCTCTTTCTATGGTGTGCGAGAGAGAGAGAGAGAGAACACGATTTACGAACTATCTTTGTTCTTCAAATGGACGTCAACTCGCTCATAAGAACACCTCGTCTATGGACGTAAGTCTATGCATATATGACATCAAGGAAAGCAAGAAAAGTTACAGCTGAGCACAGCTGAGCAGAAGATAAAAAAATGGCTACTTGGATGAAATTTGCTCGTACCTTTTCCAAAAATTATGCGACTGCTGCTGGCGAGCATCATAGTTCAGGTGAAGAAATGAACTGCGCAAATATCTGAGTGATTCATTTATACGTGCAAAAATAGTGACACTTGTATAAAGTATTCGATGCTTGATTATCTTTCCCAATACAGTATTTTTGTTAATGTAATTAACTAAGGTTTAACTAAAACATAATAAGCATCACACTTTGTTTTCAAGCAATGTTATAATAGTATGTCATGTTTTAAATGAAAAGAAAGTATATGAAAGATCTTAAGCAAGTTATCAGTGAATATTACATAACAGTAATGCTGTACGTTTTACAGAACAGACACAGGCTTTGTGGAAGAGGCTTTCATTTTTCGTAGGCTTACCAGCGATAGGTCTGGCTATGGTTAATTGCTATTTGAACCATCAGGCTCATGAACATGACGAGCGTCCAGAGTTTGTCAAGTACGATCATTTGAGGCTAAGAACTAAGGTAAAAGTTAAAATATATACATTGATATCATAACACTAGATATTAAAGCAATGAATATGTTTGGAAAATAAACATAAACTGTTAATATTTAATGGTTGTTAAATTGGATGTTATTTTCAGCCTTTCCCATGGGGAGATGGTAATCATTCTCTTTTCCATAACCCCCATGCAAATCCTCTACCAGATGGTTATGAAGATTAGAAATTAATTCTATCTGGTTTATAATGGTATGTAACTGTTAGCATTCTCTATATGTGTATCATGCATTGTATTGCTTTCTGAGCAATCAAGTAAATAAATGGGAAAAAATACAATATTTATATTCTTTTTGTATATATTTTGTGTATATTTTCTTGCAATATTTAATACAATTACAACAGTTAATATGATTAATATGATAATTAATACAATATAATTTTGATTAAATGATGATTTTGAAATGACTGATTAAACATTGATTGAACATAGTGACAAGAGGAAAATTGAGCCTTCCATTTATTATCTGCACTGAAAGTTTTTTTTGAATTTAATAAATTTTATTGAAACCAAAAAGACAGATATATATATATATATA